AAGAATGGTTTGTTGATCGTTTGTCGTGTTTCATTGTAGTCTTAATTATCTTTCTAACGCGACCTATTTATCTTAATGTTCGCGTTTACACTAAAACGTCATTTTGTACAGGATAAATTAATTATTTCACTAATCACTTCATACCACCAACCTCGTCAACGCCCTTTACATGTAACATTTTCTACTTCAACAGAAAATACTTTATTTTCACTTTTATCATGAAATTCATTACACGTTCCCCTGTTTTCGATTTTCGAGCATTTAGTGATGTACGTGCGTGGACAAGAACGTGTAAACCTAACCTGTAATTATCGAATTTACACATTAATGTACATTTATCACCGACGACGATTTTAACTTGTTCAAAAAATGGTCTGACATTTTCCAGTCTCCCTTTTATCCCCAGTTGTCGCCCATTGTAATTTTGAAATAACAAACTTGTTCAGTCGCTCAAATTTTATTCATTTTCTGTTTTATTAAACAGTTATCTACAAACCATTTGAAGATTCTACAATTAACTTAAGATTAGGTTTGTTCTCCTCCCATGGATAATTCGTAATAAATTATTGCATACTGATAGTTAATTAACTGGTGCATGAATTGCCTCAAAGAGACTTCAAACATTTGGTTAAGTTCCATGACAGCCAACTACGCTCAATAACCCTGTACGTGCGAAAGTCAATGAACGGAATCTTCGAGAGTTTCAAAGAATTTATCAAAGAATTTTATTTCCGGTATTCACTTTAGATGTAATAAAATTCATAATTTTGCTGTACTTGGCTTTATTGCGCGCGTGTTTCGTGCTGAACTTTCGCATACCATGACCGATTCTAGAACAACATGCTCCCTTGATGACGCGGGCCCGCATCAGGGCAACTGGTGTATGTAGCATGGACCCAAATTCCTCGTAAATTGTTCATTGTAAGAAAACACTTGAAAAGTTGTGTATATGTCTAGTAGGTGTAACAACCCTGTACTTGTGATTTTATTTAAACAGGAAGTGTTTCGTTAAGTACTGGAGATGGTCTCCGCTTACCACTGCCTATATGTTAAAGTGTTTGACACGAGCCTGTAATGTAGCTAGACTTAGCATTAAGTGGATCTGGAGAGTGCAGATAGGAGTAAGTCCTCAAATACCCAATGATTTACTTGTTTCCAAATTAGGATCACTAAGGTTTTGTTTTCGAACTCCGGGTCTTCAAACTAGGATTACGAAAACAACACACTAGGATTACATATGTTTTGTTTCCATAGAAAAGCTTTCACCAATGATATTTTCGGAGCTAGGATTTTCGATGTCTTGTGTTCACCATCATTTTATTCCGGAACCAGGCGACATTGATTTGTTTCCAGACCAGGAACTTCAGTGTTTTGTTTCCAAACCAGGATCATTGATATTTTGGTTTTTTTTTTCAAACCAGAATTACCGATGTGAAAACTAAGATAACGGTCAAACATGTACACGAGTTCACTTGTCGATCGCAATAAGAAAAACTGTTTGTGTTCAAATGCTTTTAGCTTTCCAAAGTTAACCTCCTTCATTAGTAAGTATGGCGGATCTGTTGGTAACTGTCACTGAATACAAGTACGTATTCATACGGTAGGAGAATGAGAACACCGGAGGATGTCGAAAGATACAGTAGGATAATGACAACACCAGATGATGACGATAGATACAGTAGGAGAATGACAACACCAGATGATGACGATAGATACAGAAGGAGAATGACAACACCAGATGATGACGATAGATAGGAGAATGACAACACTAGATGATGACGATAGATAGGAGAATGACAACACCAGATGATGACGATAGATACAGTAGGAGAATGACAACACCAGATGATGACGATAGATACAGTAGGAGAATGACAACACCAGATGATGACGATAGATACAGTAGGAGAATGACAACACCAGTAGGAGAATGACAACACCAGATGATGACGATAGATAGGAGAATGACAACACTAGATGATGACGATAGATAGGAGAATGAGAACACCAGATGATGACGATAGATACAGTAGGAGAATGACAACACCAGATGATGACGATAGATACAGTAGGAGAATGACAACACCAGATGATGACTATAGATACAGTAGGAGAATGACAACACCAGATGATGACGATTGATACAGTAGGAGAATGACAACACCAGATGATGACGATAGATACAGTAGGAGAATGACAACACCAGAGGATGACGATAGATACAGTAGGAGAATGACAACACCAGATGATGACGATACAGTAGGAGAATGACAACACTAGATGATGACGATAGATACAGTAGGAGAATGACAACACCAGATGATGACGATAGATACAGTAGGAGAATGACAACACCAGATGATGACGATTGATACAGTAGGAGAATGACAACACCAGATGATGACGATAGATACAGTAGGAGAATGACAACACCAGATGATGACGATAGATACAGTAGGAGAATGACAACACCAGATGATGACGATAGATAGGAGAATGACAACACCAGATGATGACGATAGATACAGTAGGAGAATGACAACACCAGATGATGACGATAGATAGAGAAGAAGTATGAGAGGATCAGATGGTGACTGGTTACATAAAAATCTTGTCGGAACTGATTCATTTCCGTATTTGTCGAAGACAAGGTAACTGGATTAGGGTTACTGTTAAGTATAAATCATGCTCATTTTCTGGTGTTAATTTTATAAGTGAATCTTGAATAACGTCGAGAACAATTTAACTGATTAACTGTATCATGTAGAAGTCGCTTGAAATTGATTTTAAATCTGTTTAGCTAGTGTAACGGTGACTTTTCTGTATGACTTAACCGTTTTTGAAATGAACTGTAAAAAAGAAATTGACACTACACATTGTACAAAGGATTTACAAAAGGTGAATAGCACATTCATGTACAGATTTTGTATGAGATACAACAGAGCCACACAATTGTTTCTACTATATCATACAGCTGTTTTGTCCTTGATGGGCTCGTCATGGTCTGAACTTAAAAATCCGGAACGCGACGAGGGAAACTCAAAACTGACCGAAAATATTACCGAATAACAGATCAGTACAAATGTACATTATAGTAATGATAGAGTGTCGTCAGTTTTTCTAAAGAGCACATGGACTTTTGAGTAACTTTATATCTGATTGTCGTCAGCATGTTTGGAGGTATTAGGTAAACACTGTGTGTGGCATTGGTTTTGTAACGTTAAAATGGAGGCGGTTTATAGCATAAAACCGAACATGTCTAAGGTCAAAAGGTGAGTCTCGCTTAAATCTCAGGGGAATTTAATCAGATGGTTATTTGTTATCCAACCTGTCTTATCATGACTAAAGTAGAACTTCCGTATTTGAATCATCTGTAACTTTCTTACCAGCAGAAAGATTTGTACATGTAAATCTAACTATTCTGAACAGAAAATGTCAAGCGCTCCATTTGGACGGTCGGGTTGGCAGTGTCTGGGTGTATATAATTGGACGAAAACTAGAAGATAAAGGCCATCTTTTCATTGTGATTAAGTATTACCGTTTGTGACAGACTAGTAGAACCGGTTTCGTTGGTCAATTTCACTCCAATGATTAATAATGATAGGTGTCCAGCTAGTGGCTACGTGCCCGTTCTGGATAATAAGGCCAGGGGTCAATTCTTGAAATATTAACATGCAATGGTTACGTTCCCTGAAAGCAAAATCTTAGTGCTGATGTAACAGTGTTTCTGATAGGGAATGCCAAAGCTGCAACAGGGAACGATTAGTGTTGTTTTAGAAGAACTAATTACCATCGGGATAACATTTTATTTAATTAAAAGCCAACTAATCGTGGCAGATTCTAACGTTAAACCTCCTAATGAAGTGTAATTATTGCCAAGGTCAACTGGAGAGGAAGGTTTTATTGAAATTCGTCTCGCATATTTAGACAACGGTAGTTTAATCGCTGCTGTTCCTTATTAACGCGTGTTAACCATATACTTTTCTTTGTGATGGCCGAAACTTTATTACCTGTGGATTAACAATCAAGGTAAAGTATTTAAATGATAATTTGTCTTCAATCAACCGTGAACATAACGGTGTGTCAAGTGGTATCAAATTGATAGACCATATATGGCTGTTAAATCAAATATTTACAAAAAATTATATCTTTACATAAGATTACTGTGCAACTCCGTGTGCTGTGGGTCGCGGAGTGCATTCTGATATACTACAGAACTTGTAATTATCCTTTAATACTTATTTACGTGAGAAATTAGCTGTTTGTAAACATTTTTTTCTTCAGTACAAAAATTCAGGGTGTTGTATATCAGGACCCTGGCCTGTTATGTTTATGTTGCGTGGGGGTTTGTAGGGTAAATCATTTTGACACGTAAGTAGGTAATATATCATTAATTACACCGATACACAGAGAAACACAATCCATGAGTCTTACACGCACCTACAGAGTTAGGGCAAGGTGGCACGCGCTTCCGCCATGAAAAAGATGAGGGAATGTGATTGGCGAATGATATTCATTACAGCTGTTATGTAAACACAACTTCACGTCAATGTTTACTTCCGTTCATAACGAAAATGCATTATCAGTTTCATACCGAGGAAACTGTACCTGGCTGTTGCCTTAGGTGGTGAAGTCTATTTTTTTTTATTTGTGTATGATTTCACCTCTATGTTTCATTGTAACCAATTATATATGACGAAATAGTTATCAATATGTGCTGTCCATTGTATCCGACAAATGTCCTATGACGCCGGATATATGACAAAGTCCTTTGCTATTCCTAAATGGAATTTTGTTCTTTTCCGGGAATTTCGGAACTGAAACATATTTTAACTTTTTTTTTTGTCTGCTTTTGAAGTTGATATGTATCGTTTTTGTTACTAGGTTATTTTTTTTTGTCTACAGTTGACCAGTGTACTGATGTTTGTGTGGTAGGACGACACAGTCGAGGAGTTTATGATAATATGTTTATGTTAATGTCTTTGCCACTGCTTTCTTACAGACGGAGAGAGCGGTAGCCAGACTACAGCCTTTAAACGTGACGTCTGGAAAAAAAGTCAAGTAAGTAACAGTTTACTTATATGTTTAAAGATACACATTATTTTATCGTTAATGTAACTGGAGTTTCCACGGGCATTGTTTTGAATGTTTCTGAAGTATTTGTATAGGACTTTTGAGCGACATCGGTTTGTTATTAATGCTACTGCAGTATCTATGTAAGGCTCTCGAGGGACTTTGTACTGACATGTTACTGTTGATAGTATTGTGTGAGGGTCTCGAGGGATATTGCATTGTCTTATTACTGACGTCTTCGTATCAAACTCTCGAGGGGAATTGCTGTTGCAGTACAAAGTACATCCTAAAGAGGATTACTGGAGGATAAAATGACAATTAAGTTAAAAACACATTATAATGAGTGAAAGCCGACAATGTCTTTATCGTAATGAACTATGCTACCCTGTTTAAGTCCTCACACACATGAGATTGCCAAACTGAAACAAAGTGTGAGGTATGAACTGATAAACAATGTACTTTTCTCTCTACAGTATGATGTATCAGTAATAATATCACGGTTAATATCGTAATCTGACTTACAGGGTTGTTTACATAATCCGAACTGAAAGCGACTTCATAAACCTTTACTGATGATTGGAAATGCTTACAAAGCATTCCTTTTCACAAAGACATTTTCTTTTTACCTTCTTTACGTGCTGTTTTGCAGACATTTTTTTTTTTACTTTTTTTACGTGCTGTTTTGCACGATTTAATAGAGAAAGTGACTGATAACACGACGATCGTTTAAAGTTTTATAAATTACCTTGGGAGTTATTGCAACTTCCCAACTTGCGATAGACATTTAAATTATTGTTGTTATTGTTCTACGCGGATTTTAACAATCACAACTCATCAAACATCACTGACCATTGCTAGAAGAAACATAATTGTACTGAAAGGTGCTTTTTCACGTATATCTGTCTTTACTGTCTTTGAGAGATACGCATTGATTCGATTTACTATCGCCCAAAGAATTACACAATTGTTCTCAACATCGAATACATTCTTGATCAAAATGGTGATGTGAAATCTGCCGAGTGACTACTTCATGTGGATTTGAAGATATTTGTTATGAATGAAATGAGAGCTTCAACTCTTTACTGAGCCTTAAAGATACCATAAAACTCAATGTTTGTGAATGTGAGTATATCGGTTCAGATCTGGTAATTGTATCACAGATCAAGTTATTGTTGTCAATGTAGTCCTGAGCTGAGTTATCTCCCTTGTTACCAGACAATATACGAACTACATGTTCATGTGAGTTTATGCGATAGTGCCGTGTTCTTCGATAAAATTTCTTCTTCCAAACCACAAAACATATGGTCATGCTTTTAACACGCGTTTTTATACCATGAACGATTACAAAATTGTAATATTGGCCAACAATGTTCATTTCGAGTCACCTATATGCAACAGTACTTCGTTCAAATATCTTAACAGTTCTTATCTATAAACAGGTCAAATATGTTTACAATTCTAAGAGTAATTTATTAACCGTGTTATATAAATCAACATGTGTGAAATCTAAAAATTGATGTAACAATAGGACAAAAAATTTCAGAATGAAAATATACTTTAGCATTGGATTTTTAAAGTTACCAATTGTAGAATAGAGTTACGTTGTACGTGTACGACACGCCATTTAATTGGCATAATGTAGGACCTTGACCTTGGCACCATGTTAAGTAGGTTGGTTTAGGCCACCGAAGTACCAACTGGTATTGTTTATTGGCCCGAGGTATCGTGTCTGGTGATCACAAAGTGTACAGCATCGAAATATTATTGTACCTATATGGTTTTATTGTCCGATAGGATTAATATATCAAATTTGGCTTCACGAACAGGCTTTTAACAGCTCTATGGCATTACTTAATCAACATCCTCTCTCACCTAAGCCCCGTTCAATAACTGAGCCATCTTTACCTACAGCCTCGTGTGCTAACTGACCCAGCCAATAGCCTCCCTTACGTACGGCCCCTTAAATCACTGACCAAAACAGTAGCCTCCCTTACCTACAGCCTCGTTTAATAACTGACCCAGATTAGCCTCCCTTACCTTTGGCCCCGTTAGATAACTGACCAAAACAGTAACCTCCCTTACCTACAGCCTCGTTTAATACCTGTCTCCAACAATGGCCGCCCTTACCTTCGGTCTGGTTTAATACCTGACGCAACCTATAGCCTCCTTCAATAACTGACTAAACATCCCCATGACATTGTACAATGTACCTTGAATCTCGTTTAATTACCAACTCATTTGTCTGTATTATCTATAGCGCTGTTAACTAGCTCAACGTTCCCCTTCCATAAAATCTCGTTTACATGTAGTAACGGTCTCGACAGTCTCCCTTACCTATAACCCCGTTAGACTAACGCAAACCTCTGCAGTCTCGTTTATCACATCGACAAACTGCGTACTTGTAGTCTCGTTTATCTGGCCAGTAACCGGCTTACCTGTAGCCGCGTTTATCAGAACAGGAACCTCTCTTACCTGTAGCCTCGTTTATCCGAACAGAAACCTTTCTTACCTGTAGCCTCGTTTATCAGAACAGAAACCTCTCTTGCTTGTAGCCTCGTTTATCAGAGCAGAAACCTCTCAAACCTGTAGCCTCGTTTATCAGAACAGAAACCTCTCTTACCTGTAGCCTCGTTTATCAGAACAGAAACTTCTCTTACCTGTATCCTCGTTTATCAGAACAGAAACCTCTCTTACCTGTAGTCGCGTTTGTCACGTCGACAAACCCTCAACCTGTGGTCTCGTTTATCAGGCCTATAACCGGCTTTCCTATAGCCTCGTTTATCAGTATAATAACCCCCCTTACCTGTAGCCTCGTTTTATGACTCAATCCTACTTTGAAATCGTACACATTTCACTACATAAATCGCGCAAACTCCCAGTAAAGCAGAATGATGTATTGATGTCAGGTATTCGTTCGTTTTCGTTTGTTCGTTTACTGATAAAATTATCACAAAGAAATGGTTATCTGGTATACATTCAGCAGAACTGCAATGAAAGCAAATTGTACAGCGTGGACGTAAAACATTTTTCCTGGTTTTTCTTATGTTTTTATTTGATTATCAGACTACGGATACCAGGCTCATTTGTTTATTAGATAGTGACTTCTGAACAATAATTATCCCAGGTACTGAGGGTTCTACATCATTGTTTTGAGATGAAATTATATCAAGCGATTTGAAGGAATTGAGATTTGTATCTTTACACAGTTTCAAGGTCACCGGAGTCAAGTGTGTAAGAAATTATAACCAGAAGAAAGAGGACATTTGATTTTGTCAATAACATACTAAGACAAAAGGGGTCTAAAATTTGGGATCTGAATGAATAAAGATAAAATTCTACAAGAAAATGTAAGAATGTTATCTCAATCCATACTCAAAATCGTTGAACCGTGAAAAAATATGGTACCCACCATGAAAATATAGTTAAATCCAGATAAATAATGTCACTCTGTGTTATCCATGTTAGAGTAATCTTGGATCAGTTTTGAAGAGACTATTTGACAGAAGAATGCAAAGCCACCTTATTCAGATGTCCAATAAGAACTCTAGACAGATAAAGGTCAAAGCCAAGGTCAGTAAATGTAAAAGGTGTTAATTCCTTGGTCATTTTACCGTACGTTTCTTTAGAATGGTTATTTTAACCTTTTGTAGGAACATAAAATTTGAATTCCAAAGTCCTTCCAAATTCTTAGCTAACAGAGCCTTGGTATTTTGATTGTAACTTCACGCGACAGTTGTACCCGGTGTAACACACTGTATTGGTTGGCTGAGAAAACGCCAGGGACGTAGTGTTGACCTTTAGTAGTTGAGTAGCGGTCGTGAAGTGTTTTATTATGACTCGGTTTAGAAAACGTCCAAAACTATCGTCTGAGGATTTTCTAAGAGTAATTTTATGAAGTGTTAAGACGATTTCTGTGGCCGCGGAGTCGTTCACAATTTCATGCCTTATAACCATTGTACCGACTTTGTTTATCAAGGACTTACACTAGGATAGAACAAATAGGATTTAAAAGGGCGAAAGCTCAACTCAGAGATATATAGAGACTCGCCTCTTACGATTATGTAATGGTGACAGCCATCTCTCTACACCCCTGAAACATGTCATGGCAAAATTGAAGGTTCCATGTGCAACACCTTGTGGACAATACGAAAAGACTAGTTTGATACTTTAATGTACATCAAACGATTCTCCACGTCGCATAACGGTATATTGTACTGGCTTTGAAGTTAGATGTTGCTCCTCTGTAATTGGTCAGGTTTTTGTTTCACGGAACTAATCAAATTATTTCGATTGTGTTTCAATTTCGTCATGACAAGTTCCAGAGGTGCACAGAGCGAAAGCGATGGTAACCTCTGGAGTATTTGATATAGGCAATAGCAGGTACAGTGTTCAGTTCTTCTGACCTGCAATACAACCTCGGGTTTGTAACGAAAAATTGTGGTAAATGCACTGGTGATTGATTAGGTTATAAAACTATTGAACTCAAGTTAAAGGTCATACGTAAATGACCAGTTGTAATGGTAAAAGGTTCGTGACCAGTGTTTCGTAGACGCTAAAATCTTTCTTATATCAAACATTCTGCGAAATGCAACGATGCATAATTCTCTTCTTCATTTGTCTGTTTTTTTATAAGGTGTTCCACGGCGCGGTTAGGTCTCAATATTAGAATGTTGGCATCTTGTGGAATAATGGGATTTTTAAACTTGTTAAGCCAGTTGGTCAGGTGACCATTATTGAAAATCCGTATTACAGTAATTCAGTTGTGTTATGGCCAAATCTAAACATAAAAACCTATTCCGAAAGTTTCGAACCGTAAAAGCAGCTAACTACGTTGAAAGAAACCTTGACGAGAAATACACGTTTTGGTAAAAATTCCTAAATTACACAGTTCATTTAATGATAAATCATGTATTCATTTGCCTCGATAGAAAAGACGCACGGCAGCGTTACAGTAAGCCTGACAGCTTAGCAATTAGTAAATTTTCTCA